CTCGTTGGCTGTGCCTAAGGGCTGAGCATTGCAGGATATCGTGAGATGGCATTGGCAGGAGCAAGGGTTAGAGGGGGCTAGAGGGGTCCTGGAGAGGATATAGGAAATATATTCCTATAAATGGGAACACCCCACCTCCTTCCGCGTTGTAATTGATGTTTCAAGTAGCAAAGTGCGCGCCAAAAACTACCAGGCCCAAGTTGATTTTGATTCAGTTGCTGCAGAATTTTAATGAAGTCGAGTATTGGCTGCAAATTTTGCGACTAAATCAAATTAAACCACATGAGCTCCTTCCTGCCTTCCTCCTTTAAGGAAATGAGTTCGACTCTGGCTTAGCACCAAAAACTAATGCAAGTTTTTGTCAGCACAGATTTCCCTCACTCCCTCTATTTCAGCCTATTTGACTTGGCTTTCAATAATGCTTTTCACGCTAATTAATTTTCGGTTTTACACAAACATGAACCCAATCACACCCGCACACAATCGGCCACCCACACACACACACACACACTTGGCACCGGCACTTGACAATTTCCTGAGCGTCAAAAGATTGGGAATTTCTTGAAAAAAAAAGAGCAGGGGTGATTCATGGCAAAATCTGTCCATACTGGGAGGAAGAGGAAATACGTTTCCTCCCTCCGGCAAACTCGATTCTCTTTTTTTTCTAAACGGTATTTAATAGAATCCGGGGTATATATCCTGCGAACTATAATCCTGAAAGGGAAACATTAAGTAGAAATCTTTAAAGAGATTTTTTAATATAGAATCTTGAAATAATACTTTTATTTTCCATTATTTTCGATGTAATTGCAATGTTTTTTATAATATATCCCTCTTCTCACATGATATATATCCCTAATAGACCCTAAACTAAGCTGAAACTATCATTAATATTATCATTATCATTTATTATCATTTATTAATAAATTTTGTAAATATTTTTAGATAATTTTGTATATTTCCAATTACAAAAAGAAGTCACAAGGCAGATTCCTAATATTATATTCCTAAATGTTTGCCTTTAAAAATTTTTTAGCAAGAACAACTTAGGGTATCCTTTATTCCACACCCTCAATTGCTAGCATCTTTATTTATTTTTGTCTCGCACTCTCCTCACATTAGACATTAGAGAATTTGTTGCCCTCGCCTTTCCGCCGGAGAGTTTCCTGCTGTGAATTTGGCTAAATTGCATTGCCACGACAACTGGGTCTGGGTCCTGGCACGGAGTCTACCACTGGGAACTGAGACTGAGGCTAAATTCAAGTCTCAATCTGCGGCGGCTGAGGCTTGTTGCTTGAGCGAATCAGAAATTGTGGCAGCCACCCCGCAGCCGAAACCGCAGGAGAGCCGCACAAGAGCCGCTTGACTTGGACTGTTTTCGGACGAGGCTGGGTGAGAGTACCAATACCATTCCCCCCTGAACCTTCACGCCCAATTGATGCGGTCTTAACGCCTGACTAGAGGCCAGTAATCTTGGCAAAAGGGGGAACTCGACCTAAACCTGCCTCAAACAGGCACAGAGGTTGACTCCAAAAAAAAAAAAAAAAGGTTTCGGTTTCGATTGCGTGAAAATCGCACGGAACGCCTTCTTCCCGGCTCTTTGACACGGGAAGGCGTTGCCAGACAGAAAATGGCGGAAGATGCAAAACGCCCCAGCGATTTTGGATATAATCTAATTTGATGAGACCTGGAAAGTCCTATAGAAAGGGGAAGGGTATATCTAGACTGTTTTGATCCCTTATAGAAATTCTGGGAAAAAGAGAGTATATTTTAGGGGCTAGTTTTAATACAATTTAAGTTTATTTTAACTATTTTCTAATTAAAATTAAAGAGAGAAACACAACATAGACTCAAAGTACAATTCCCAGAATTAACTTTAAGAGTAATCAATTTTAATCAAAATATTTTAATGAAGTCCCTAACCCTCTTATGTGAGTTCTATCAAACTGATTAAATTCGCTGTTCGAAGGCAGTGGTGGAATCCGCCAAGCCAAGCAATCGCTAAGCCGTATAATTATATATAGAATACATAAATGCAGATGCACAAACTACACACAAACACACATCATAATGTGTGTGTAATATTCCATATAGACTGTGCCCGCATCAGGCGGAGCGGCGCAACTCAACTCAACTAATGGTCCATTCGTGGCACTTGGTTATTGACGTTGGACTCCAATTGTATTAACAATGCATGCAGCAAGGGAAGCAGGGAAAGAGGGAAAGAGGGGGGTGGTTCCACAGGAGGCCGAAAGAGACGAGGTCAAGCTGTAAGCGGGAACGGTTCGCGTTGATGCCAAAATCGAAGCGTGGTCAACTTCATTTCGCTTAATTTCGTGTTGAGGCCTACAAATGGGGTACAGTGAGGCTTATAATAATAAAAGAAGCTTAGAAATTATAAAATAAGAAAAAAAAACTATTTATAATTATATTTAATAATTTTCAAACATATTTTTAAGTCTCTAAAACCCTTTAAAACTTCAAATACACAAAAACTATCATTAGATACGTTTAAGCTATCGAATCCCAACTGTAGATGGCGCTGCGGTGTAGGAGCTGTGCGCGATGCGTGCCCGCTAATCCGCCAACTGTGGGCCAAGGGGCTGGAAAGAAGGCCTGTGGGGGAGTAGGGGTTGAACTAGGTAACTCCCTATTTCTACTCTGCAACCCCGCAGCCCCCTTTCGATGCATGCCACTCAGCTATGACATTTTGGCAGCGTCGAGTGCACCAAGACTGTCAAATGAGTTGTAATGAAATCTCACTCAGGACTCTGGTCATATACCTCCGTGTGCCTCCTCCCCCTCTTTACCTCTATGTGCGTGTGTGTGTGTGTGTTGCAGTCAGCTTTGGTCAGCTGCACATATAATAAATAAATTATTTGGCATTTGGCGTGGCGTATTATTGAAGGCAACTGCTGCTGCTGCAGCTGCTGGATAACACACAGCACAACACACGCACACCTGCTACGCCCGGCAGCGCCATCTGTCGTCCGCGTTTTGAGACAGATTTGGGCATTAGCGTGATTAGTCTCAATAGTCGCTAGTATTTAGCAACAACAAACGGCTTTATAATCAAGGGAGAGAAGCTAACTTTAAGAGGGAACTAGAGGGTAGAGTTGAGAATCCTTTAAAGAAGTTTTTAAGAGGTATAAATGGTATTCAAAGGATACACAGAGGTGTGAACTCAGGGGTTTTTTAGATTATGAAGTAAAATACTATGTTAGAATATCCATTAATACTTTTATTAATCAGAGGGGTTAAAGATATCACTAGGGGTTTAGAATCGCCTACTTATAATACTTTATATTATACTTTTTAACAGATATTCACATTTGTTTTTGACTTGTGTAGTAAATATATAATTTATAAGCCTGCATTACCTATAACCTTGTGGTTCTTGTGGCTTTTTACATTCCACAAACATATTTATATAATTAATTATGCACCAACAACTCCCATAAAACCTCAACCTCATTGTAAGCCGTGTAATGAGTCACACTTTAATTACAATGCAGATTTATTTAAAAGTAATTGCTCTTCGTTAATAATATATTACTAACACATAACATTACAATACCTGGTAAAAAGCGGATAAATTAAGACTACAACCTCTGTGTAAGGATTAGTCACCTACCCCCTCAAATAAAGCAATTTTGCATGGCAAAATAACAAAAAAAAAAAAAAAAAAAAACGCAAACTAAAAGAGAAACTTGTGAATAATATATAATTTGCGGCGTAATGAGCCGAAAAGTAAATCCATCCATTGCATGTCCGGAACCCATAAAGCTAGGCAACGATTTCTGAGAACATCGCAACATTGTCTGGCCTGTGGGAAGGAGAAGGATTACGGAGGGACGACGACAGGAGCACTCTCAGTCAGTCACATGGCAAAAAAGTTACAAGTAATACTTAACGCTAAATGGGCACAAGTGCCCACCTGAGCCAGTACCCACTTCAGTGCGATGCGAGTGTTGTGTTTTTTTTTTTATTCTCTCTGCACTCCCGTGCATGGAAATTTTTGTAATGAAGTTATCGAAAAGGTGGATCCGAATCCTGACGCCGCCGCCGACGCCAGCAACATATGTAGAGCAATATGCAAATGTTACTTTGTTATGCAATTAGTGAATTCGATGCAAGCCACTCGACGGGGGTCGGCAAACAGACAACCGCAGCGCAACAACGACAACGGAGTCGCCACTCGAAGGTTCAGTCAGTCAGTTAAATGTATCGTTGCCGTTGCAACTTGAATTAGAACAGGGCCTGCATAAGAAGTGCCATAGATTCAGCAAGGATTCAGCTCTAGGGTCAGCAAAATACCTCAGAAAATATTATGAAAAATATCTAGAGTTTGCGAGATACCTTTGAAAAGTTATAGAATATATTTATGATCAGCTAAATATCTTAGAAAAATTTTAAAATATATCCAGATCAGCAAGATAACTCAAAAATAATTATGGGAAATATCTTAAGTGTAATAGAAGTATCTTTACTTTAGATTCAGCAAGGATTTAACTCTGGGACCAGCAAGATACCTCAGAAAAAGTATGGAAAATATCTAGGGTTACAGAAATGTCTCTGAAAAATTATAAAATATTTCCCAAGTGAGCGAAATACATTAAATAAAATATTTAAAATATATTGGAACAGCCATAAAGTTATGGGAAATATAAAGGACCAGTGAGATATTAAGTTAAAATCATTTTATGTTACAAAACCTCTCTTGGCATTAATAAACCCACATTACCCATTGATATAAAACCACAAAAAAATGAAATAAAATAAAAATAGGTCGATTTTGCTTGTCAATCAACTGGGGAGAGGTGGTTATGGGGGCCATAAAAGAGAACTATAGACGAGACAAGAGGAGCCGGCGCATCGAGCGCTAACCAAAGCGAGTCACACAATTAATTGAAGCACCACTTACCCATCAGAGTCTGCTCCTGCTCTTGCTTCTCATCACTTTACTGATTCTTGAATCTTTTCCACTCTTCCATTTGCAGGCCAAAATGATGGAGAACTCGCATGCCTGGATGGGAGCCACCGGATCAACGCTGGCAGGTTTGTACTGCCACTATTTCAAGGCACTTGCAAGCCGATCTTATAGTTGGTTTTCTTTACACTTGATATTTCAGCAGACAGCTACCAGTACCAGCTGCAGTCCATGTGGCAAAAGTGCTGGAACACCAACCAGAACCTGATGCATCACATGCGCTTTCGCGAGCGAGGGCCCTTGAAGTCCTGGCGCCCCGAGACCATGGCGGAGGCCATCTTCAGTGTGCTGAAGGAGGGCTTGTCCCTGTCGCAAGCTGCCCGCAAATACGACATCCCGTATCCCACCTTCGTGCTGTATGCCAATCGTGTGCATAATATGCTGGGACCCTCCATTGACGGTGGACCGGATCTGCGGCCCAAGGGTCGCGGGAGACCGCAGAGGATCCTGCTGGGAATCTGGCCCGATGAGCACATCAAGGGCGTTATCAAGACGGTGGTTTTTCGCGATGCCAAGGACATAAAAGACGATAGTTTGGGCGCTCACATGCCGCCCTACGGTCGCCACTCGGTAGGTAATCAGTACGGCCCGATGCGGCTGTATATTCTAGAGACTTTGATCCTTGAACCGAACTAACTGTGCTCGGGTTAGCCCGCGTTTCCCTTGCAGGACCTCCCACTGAGCTATCCGGGCGCTAGTGGCGCCCTCGCCGGGACTCCGAGCTCGCTGGCCTGTCCTAATGGCAGCGGTCCCCAGTCGGGCGTCGGCGGGGAACAGCACATGTCACAGGAAACGGCCGCCGCGGTGGCCGCCGTGGCCCACAACATCCGGCAGCAGATGCAGATGGCAGCGGCCGTGCAGCATCAGCACGGGGAGGCGGGGCCGCCGCCCGTTCCGCCGGGTTTGTTCAACCTGCCGCCCCATCCAGGCGTGGGCGTTGGTTCGGTTTCGGTACCCGGAGCGGGCGGAGGCAGGGCCAGCATATCGCCGGCTCTAAGCAGTGGCTCCGGGCCCAGGCATGCGCCCTCGCCCTGCGGTCCCGCCGGCCTCCTGCCGAATCTGCCGCCCAGCATGGCCGTCGCTCTGCACCATCACCAGCAGCATCAACAACAGCAGGCGGCGGCGGCAGTGCATCATCAGCAGCACCAGCAGCAGCAGGCCCACCATCATCTGCAGCAGCTTCACCTGCAACAGCAGCAGCAGCAGGCGGCGCACCTGCATCACCACCAGCAGCAACAGCAGCAGCAACAACAGCACCACCACCAGGTGCCCCACAAGTCCGGTTTCGGTGCCAGTTCCAGTTCCTCCGCTTCCTCCTCCTCTTTGGTGGGTCAGCATTCAGCCAAGGCCAAGGGCAGTCCGCTGCGCAGTGAAACGCCGCGGCTGCACTCGCCGCTCGGCGATCTCGGCCTGGACATGGCCTATAAAAGGGACTTTTCGCCCAGTCGTCTCTTTGCCGAGGATCTGGCTGAGCTAGTCGGTGCCAGCGTCTCATCCTCTTCCTCCTCGGCGGCAGCGGGAGCTGGAAGTGTGGCTGCCCAGCAGGAGAGATCGGGCGGAGGATCGTCGGCAGCAGCGGGAGCAGATGCACCCAGCTCCTCGAGCAGTGGCGGCATCAAGGTGGAGCCCATTACCACCACTAGCGAGTAAAACAGGAAAGAAAGATGAAATGAGGAGGAAAATGAAAAGTAAAAAAGGGGATAAGTAAAGGAAATGAAAAGTATGATTAGTAAGAGGGGAGAACGAAGCCAACTGAATTCTGAAGTCCATCAGAAGCTGCTCCAGCAGCTAAAACGCGGGGAACGTACTCTGATACCTTGGTTAATTAGTAAGGATATTGAAATTAAACTAATTTTAATTTTTATATATATTTTTAAAGGTTTTTTTATGCCTTATTTATTTTTATTTGCACTGCAAAATATTTTAAAAAAGGTTTCAAGATCATCTTAGGGAATGCCAAAGAAATTCTCTAGAGTTTAAAATAAATTGAAAATATTTTTGAAAGTTTTATTAAAATTCAATCATCTCGAATATAGGATACATTTAGGGACTTTTTCAAATGATTTTAAAAGCTCAAAATGTTTTATGGCACTTTTGCTTACCTTACTTTTGATTTTTTTAATAAAACAAGTTAACTTTCATATCATTTTTGATTATATTCAGTTATTAATTCTTTAAAATCTAACCAGAATATTCTAAATTTTATTAACTGATAAAATCCTGTTAAATATAATCGTATCATAAATAATATATAAGCTGTAATTCACCATTTTTATAACTCTCCCTCTTCATTTACTTTTAAAATCATGTAAATATTAACCAAATGTTAAAAATTAGACACATTTAAACAGGTTTCTTAAACAATTATGTACTCTTTCAGCATTTTTGTTGATAAAATTATTTATCTATTTATCACTAATCCGAAATTAACCAAGGTATAGGGAATCCTTGGAGCCGCGCTTTCCTCTAGTTTCCTCCATGCGATCTTCGCCACACCTAGTTTCTATTCCTAGCGTACTTATTGAATCAAAATTGAAAGTATTATTATGTTATAGTCCAGCAGTCTAACTAAATAAATAGCGATCGATCTCTTTAGTTAGTAAGCAAACCAACGGCAGCGGAAGCGGAAGGAGGAGACCCGGAACATTCCACAGAACAGAGCAGATAATGAAGCCCCAGTCCCCCCAGAGAAAAAAAAACCAGCAGCATAATTAATTAATTAATTAATTAATTAAATGTAAACGAAATCAAAAGAGTTTAAGCGGATTTAACTTGGTAATTGTGTGCCCGACCCTTGTTTAGTCGTATTATTATTACTATAATTTACCAGAAGCGAGAGGGAAAATGTACAAAATTATTAACAAGAATGATGATGGCAAAATGGAATCAACTAAATTTAATGTTTAGGCTTAACAACAAAAACTAAAAACAACAAAAAAAAAACAAAACCAAATTAAAAATGAAAATTCACAAAAAATGCCTTTCGGAATTAAATTCAGCGATGAAAAAAACGCAAAACAAAATTATGTAAAAAAGAAAACAAGAAACAAGTGAACTTTTTGTAAACGTATTTATATACAAGCGAAATTTTTAGACAAAATTTAGAAGCGAAATTTTTAAAGTACAACGAACACTGCTGCGCAATCCATCGTCCATGGACTTGAGGCACTTGATTTGAGATTATTGGACTCCCGATTCCCGCCCTAACCACTAGATCCCCCTTCTAAAGTGCCTTTTCTAGCCTTAATTTGGACTCTGCTCCACTTCTGTCCCGCGTCCGGCTGAGAGGATGCGCAGCAGGATTCGTTGGAGGGACATAATGCAAGTATGTTTTGTTGACACCTTTAGGCAAAGACTTTCGGCAACGTTTTTAGGTTTTTGGCAAGCGCACACAATTGATGATTAATCGGAGACACAAGAGTTAATTACGATAACACACAACTATTTTTGCATACGCAAGAACTCATCATCTACAATAGCCATAGCCCGTATATAAGTATCTATGTAATCCCCCATTCCCCACCCCCCCTCAAATAGACTTTGATGTTCCACAAGAAACTTAACGAATTACTTTTCGGATGTAGGATGTAACATAAACAATGGCGGAGCTAGCAGTTAATAAATCTCCTGGATATGTGTATCTTTGTACGATCTGTCCACAACTCGAACATTTTCTGTCAACTTTAGTGCAAAACTTTATGTTCAAATTAACTTTAAATGTCGAAATGAAATGAATGTTCTAATTAATCCAAGAAAACAAAAAAATGAATGCAAAAATGCGGAAAATGGAAAACTGAAAGCGAACAAAAGTATTTTATAAAAACATTGAAAAAGTAACCCAACTTGAAAAAGACTTTTAATTCTCTTGGCTTTAGTGTTTATTGCTCTATTTCATAGATGGATACTGGAAACTACCTTCTTCCTCAGCTCCGTGCTCTCAGAGCACGATGGGCGCTGCCTCCGAGGGCGGTGGCTGGTTGATCTCCTGATGGCGCTGGAGCAGACCCAGGCATTGGTGCAGGCTTTGGGTGCTGGCCATCGAGATTGCCTTGAGCAGTAGCAGGTCGGGATCCGTGGGGGAGAAGGAAGCACAGTCGATGCTCTCAATGGCCCTGGCCAGAGAGGCGTTGCTGCAAGGGGGAGGGATATGGGGTGTTTAAAGGAAGATTAAAACTTACAACTAATTTACGATGGATCAAATCATTTAAAACTAATATTAAGAATTAAATTTAAATAATAAACAAATAAATAAAATAATTACCATTGCTCTGTGAGAAACAAGGCCTGGCGTGCGGACACCATGGCATCTGAGGCGGCCAGCAGTTCCCTGGGCGGCAACGGCGATGAGTTGCTTATGTCCATGGCCTTCATGTGACTCTCCACCACCGCCCGCAGGCCATCCACCCATTCTTGCCGGGCTCGAGCATCGTTGGCCCTCAGCTTGACCGTATCACCCGAGGCACAGGCAATGGCAAAGGTCCTAGAGTCCTCGTCACTGGGATAGACCACGGCGCCGGCCAGCTGCACCTGACCGCGAGGAGCACTGGCCAGGACATGCGGCGAGGGTGCAATGTCATCGCCCACGGTCGAGGAGTCGCACAGATAGTAGCTAAGCGATCCGGTCTTGGCATCCACCGTGAACCAGCGGTATTGCCAGCCTAAATAGAGGAAAAGAAATTAATTAAAACTTTCCCAACAAAGCAAAGATAAGATAAGAAACCAGAGATACATCTGCACCACTCACCCTTCATCACATTGGTGTATTTGCTGAGCTGGCCGCTGAGCTTCAGCTTCGGCGACTCCCGAATGATTCGCGTGAGGTTGCTCTCCATTGTCCTGGCGGAATCCTCCGTTTCCAAGGGCTCCTCCCGCGAGAAAAGGGTGCTCCGCGGGACGGAGGCGGAGGCAGCGTCGGTGAAGGACGAGGAGCAGCTGGCAGAGAGTGTGGCGGTGGGGGGATATAGCTGCTGGCGGCTGGCGTTGCTTCTTGCTTCTTCTTCGGAACGAGTTCTTCAGTTTGCGTAAAATGTTTGCAGAGAATTGGAAGTCAATTTGGCGAAAAAATAAATAAACAAAGAGTGAGTGTGACCAACTAACAAAAAAGTGTGGCCAGAGCCACTCTAGATATTATGCCACACTCTCATGAGCGGAGTCTGGCAACGCTGGTTGCTCATCGATAGTGCAAGAAAAATCGGTGGTTGTTTTCTAGTGAGTACATCGATATATCGCATTGAAAAACATAGATTCTATCGATAGTGACATCGATGCTGTCACATCTCTAGAATTTCGCAAAAATCCAATTTGTTTAAACAAACGAAAACAGTGCGCCGCGCTTTAAAAAATTCGCCGATGGTCTGCAAAATGACCGGGAAAACTTAGCGCAGCGTCTCTGCAGCTCGCGTGCAACGGTAATTGCGGAGAATTTCCCGGGGAAAGAAAATGGGGAAGAAAACAAAAGCAGCGCGAGTGAAAAAAATCAATTTGTGTGGCACAAGAAGTGGCAAGAGGAAGAGAGAACTGCTTGCTGCGGATGATGTGATATATATATTTATATATACTGGCGTATATACCAGCCTTACAAGTGTGTGTGTTCTGGAGTTTGTGTTAAAAAATTAAGGAAACATTGCAAATTGGCAATTAAAAAGTAGAAACAACAACAGAATCTGTCTTGTTGGTGCGCGTGTGTGAGTGTGCGTTTGTGTTCTTGAAATAAGAGCAAAGAAAAGATGTGTGTTTTTTATGTTTTTATGTTTTCGTGACGCGGCTTCCTCATGATTTATGACATTTAACGGGAATATATGTGTTATGTATATGTGCAGCTCCCCCACCCCCTTTCTAGACATCCTCCCACTCCAGCCTTCTCTTTTCCTCTTTGCCACCTTCCGCTGGCTGGCGTGTGTGTGTTTGTCTGTTTGTATCTCCCTCTCGCTCTCGCACCCACGAACAACTCGAGGGGGAAAAACGCGAGGGTGACAAGGAGAGAAAAACCGAAAAAAAACTCCACTTTTAAAAATAAAAACCACGAAGAAACTGCGTGTCGGCCAGAAATAAATATATGCAAATAATGTGTAAAAAGGAGAGAGAGAAGAGAAGAGAAGAAAGAAGATAAATACCATTTGCTAATTTGTGTCTGCGCTTTTCCACCTTGTTTTCCCCCTATGTTTTCCCCCACATTTTCCACAAACAAACATCAAAAGAGAGTGACCATGAAAATGCCAGCGAGAAATTTGCGAAAATCAATGAATAAAGGCCAAACAATAACAACAACAAACAGCAGCGAAACATAATAATAATATTAAAAATAATACCGAGATTGCCGAGTGAAATTCGAGGCTGGAATTCGTTATGCTGCAGTGACCAGCCTTGGTTTAAGATCGGAGACCATTCCCCTGCCTGGCTGCCCGCTCCTCCTCCTATTTCCCACGAATAGTAATTAACCCGCGGCGCACCGCATCGCATCGCCGCTCCGATTAACCCTCTGCTGCCGCCGCCGCCGCCGCCGTCACAGCAATGGACGGCCAGCGGGCCAGGGATCTGCTAACGCTGCTCCAGGAGCGCGTTGTCTTCCTCACAGGCGGCAGGGATCGCCGTGGCGGGCCGCTCCTGTGCTTCCCCGCCACACCAAGGCGAGATCGGTTGAAGCCGGAGGATCTGCGGCGATTGCTCAGCTACCTGATCAGCATTCCCAGGTGAGAATCAGTGTTTTCCCTCGAAAGCTATAGTAAGATAATATTAAGGACAGAAAATCTGACAAGCTTATTGGATTTAATAGAGAAAATATGGTTTACTATTTGTCAAAAACAATAAGCAGGTGAATTTACCTTTAAAAATAAATACAAATTAGTTTTGAAATCATTAGGCTTAAAATCAAAAACCATTAAATTATTTTTAGAAAGAAAATTTACACTTTTATAAAGCTAATTTCAAGATAAGAACTACTACCTGTAATCCTTAGGTATTGCCACATAAATTTATGGCTTCTGTTATTGGTTTTTATTAACATTTGGCTTAATTTTATGGTTATAATGTACGACAAACTATTTAAACTATGTCTTTTGGTTTTTTTATTGATGCTTTTCATCACTTTGAGGATTTACGAGCACCAAGATATTTCACAGAATTTCAAATGATTCACCCAAATCAAGTGGCACCTAATAAAATTTTAAGTTTTTCAGTTGACAACAGAGAAGAGAGAATATTTTTTTATTAGTTCACGTTTTTCTTTATTATGATCTCCAGACTAGTTTAAGCTTTAGTTTCCATTTATTCAAATTGAAAACGTCAAGATTTAAGATATTTATACAGCAATGTTGCCTTTGGCTACTGTGCTCATCCATTTTCCATTCGTTTTCATCTTCTATTGTACAGTGAGCTCTCCAATTTAATTATAAGAAAACTAAACTAAACAATAACATAAAGATATTGCAAAGAAAAAACTGGCAGGCTTGGTTAAACAGCTGTTGGCCTTAATCAGAATCTTTCTTTCTTTCTTTCTTGGTTACAATTTATTTGAAACAAGAAAGGAAGCTAACTTCGGCACGCCGAAGTTTCTATACCCTTGCAGATATTATTTCATTACATTTTACCTACGTATACTTATTATGTTTACAGTTTGACAGTTACAGTTTTGCATTCCCAGCTTTATATTTTATCTACATCTACCGATCGTTTATATGGCAGCTATATGATATAGTTGTCCGATTTTTATGAAATTCGTACCAAAATTCTGAAATAATAAAATAAGACTATATCTCAGAGTAGATGAAAATACGTTGAAAAACAACGAAGTTATAATTTTTTTTCTATTCATTTCCTGATCGTTCCTATGGCAGCTATATGATATAGTCGTCTGATTTTCATAAAATTTTTACCAAAATTCAGAAATAATATAAAATGGTCATATGTAAAAAATAGTGCACATATGTTGAAGAACAGCTAAGTTTTAATTTTTTTTCTAAAAATTTATTGAACATTTGTATGGCAGCTATATGATATAGTCGTCCGATCCGGCCCGTTCCGACATATATAGCAGTGAGAGCATATAGAAGACTATATGCAAAGTTTTATTCAGATAGCTTTAAAACTGAGGGACTAGTTTGCGTAGAAACAGACAGACGGACAGACAGACAGACAGACAGACAGACAGACGGACAGACGGACAGACGGACAGACGGACATGGCTAGATCGACTCGGCTCTTGATGCTGATCAAGAATATATATACTTTATAGGGTCGGAAACGTCTCCTTCACTGCGTTGCAAACTTCTGACTGAAATTATAATACCCTGCAAGGGTATAAAAATGTATCAGATTTCTTAGAACCAGAATCCAGTTCATTATTTGTATATATTGATTTTGCTATAGGTTTCAAGTATAAAATATTTTGATTCGTTTCTGGTTCGAAGGCCCACTGTACCCGGCACAATGGCTACCCATTGTGTCAGCTGACGTCGCGACGTTGCTGGCAGCGCTTCGTTTGCGATTTCGGCAGCGTCGCGACGTCGTCGCCTCACCCGCAACTATATTGTATATATATTTTATATATATATATTCCGAATAGGGGGTGAAAGAGGGACAGGGGCGGGGAGCAGCTGCTGCAGCTGCAGTGCCACATTCCACTTGATTTTCCTGTTATAGTCGTCCGACTGCAGTCGCATATTTTATGAATCATCATCGTCAGACGCTTGCAAGAACAGCACGCACATTGTTCTTGCTGCGCCCCCTCTTTCACTGCTGCTGCTGCTGTTGCTGCTCCTGCTGCTGCCTCTGCAGTTGACATTGAATGGAACTGCATGTGAGGTTCGCACATGGAGGGGCTTATTCGACTTGAGGCGCTGAAATGGAGGGCGGCGAGCTGCCTGCAAAAAAAGTCGTAAAAGTAAATATTTTTAAATAAAAACTAGCAGCAACAAAAGTTGCATAAATCTGTGCGACAAAGAAAGCTATAAGAGCAGAGTCGAGAAGCAGAAGCAGCAGAAAAACAGCAGCTCAACGCACACACACTCACAGCGGCAATAAGAACCGGGGACCGGCTTCCAAAGACTTTATAGAACCGAAGCTCCAAAGAATGCGAAGATTTTTTTGCTGCTTGCCCCAAAGAGCAAAAAGCTAAAAGCAAAAGAAAATAAAAAGGAAAAAAACCACAACAAAAACCCAAATGTACCATAAAACCAGAAAGAAAGAAAAGAAAGGGTAATTTGGGCAAACAGTGAAGCCTCGAAGTTAATAAACTGGTTAAACAAAGATCCAAGTAAAAGCAAAAAGTAAAAGCCAAAAGCAATTAATTGGTTAATTAAATAATATAATAGCATAGGAGATTAAACTTAATTTGATTTCAGAGGAGAGCTATGAAAAGATTTTAAAGACATTAATGAGGTAATGTTTTCTTAGATTCAATGGGTAATACTTAAGAGGTATTTGAGGAGTTCTTAAATAATATTTACAAGTTCTATATTTGAGCCAAAATAACCCTCAAAGCTAATGGATCGCTTCACTCTTGATACCCTACCACAAACTGCTATCGAGATGGCTGCCAAAGGCAACAAACTCGGAATGATAATCAGACCCGGGAGTTGACGACGCCGACAACGATGATGGCGACCCCAGATTGCGACACACGACGTGGAGAGTATCTGCGGGAAGATGTGGAAAAAGTAGCAAAGTAGCGACCGCCAACCGCCGACATTCTCCAATTCCAATCCAATTGGCAAAGAGGGAGAAACGCACGTTCCTCGCTTATTTAGTCATGCTCATTGGCGCAATCATACCGCGTTGTAGCATTCAAATTGAGGCGCTAACAAGTTTCGCCGGTCGTGAATCACTGGGAGGTGGTTTCCCACGCCGACTCCCACCCATTCAGCTTGTTATCAGTGCGGTAACAAGCAAAGCATTGTACTATCAGTGTCCCACATTTTACGGATCCCCCGGCCAGAAAAGATAGAGAAGCGGAGGAGGTAATGGAACCATAGCAGACGACACTTAACGTTTTGGCCGATAAGCAAATCGACAACTCGCTCGATGCAGTGTCCATTTTTCAAGCACACGAAATGGGATCGGGAGCGGGACGGGGAATGGGGTTGCCTTATCTCAACGCTACCATCCATGGAATGTGCTGTTCTCTCTGGCACTCTGCCCACTGTGCACCTTATCTGACCACTGTGCGCTTTATCTGGTCGTGTGTCTTTTACTCTTCACTCTTCAATGGGTTCTGCTTTTTATTTACTACTTGCCGAATGAGTTTTAAACTATGATTATACCCTAGTATTTTAAGAAAGGTTTAAATAGGTTGAAAGAAAAATGAATATGAATATGTCAAACATTGGTTATTACCTTGATCTTATCAATGAGTGCAAACAAACAATTACTTTGTAAAGTAGTGTATTTGGAGCTTCGTCCCCTGAAAACCTAATTTACTTCTTTGTTTTGCTTTGCCTTCGTTTATGTTTCGCTTTTGTTTTGTTTATTTGCTTTGGCGTGAAACACTTTTTGTTTATTTCTGCGGCCTGTGTTCGTTCGTTCCGTTCCTTTGTCTCTGCCAGTTTCCCAGTTGGCCAAATTGGCAACTGAAATGAAGGCGTCCCATCGTCTTTTCGCTGCTGTCGTCAATGCAAATTCTGTGAATCGAGTGAATCGAGAGGGAGTTCTCAGCATTTTAGACACGTACATTGCCTGGACTTCCTTTCGGGGTGCTACACCCCGCCAGAAGGCTCAGATTTATAGGTTAAATAAACGATTTTTGATTGGACTTTGTTTTCCTTTTATCGATTTTGAAATGCGGGCGACACTTCTCCAGTCGCTCCTTCTCTTTCTCTGCTCAAATTTGGATTTTTAATAGCCCGTTTCGAAGGTTTTTTATTACTCATCAAGTGAGTTGAGGCATGGCCTGCCTGGTTTTGCCTCGACCTCTCGAGTAAAACACACAAATTTCCAGATATGTCACTCGATAAGAAGTTGCGGGAGGGTTTTTGGGAACACTCTCTTATTGGACTTGACAATCGGGAACGCAATCAAAGTTCGTTCTGGGTTCCCAACGAATAAGTTTCATTCTTAGCCTGAAATTTAAAATGCATGCGAGACGCCGCCTCTTCACTTTCGCATTGTTCTTCTTGGGGGCAAAACCCCTAGAAATGCCCCCATCTGACAACCGCACGACATATGCTTAAACACGAGAAGATAACGTGGTTAAAACCGGGAACTGAGAACTCAGAACCGGCCGCAATCAGGCCAAGAAATAGCGGCAGAAGAGTGGGAATAACACGGGGGAATAATAGGAATAATAGGCGGAATGGGAAGCGGAATCGGAGGAGATGGAGGAGGGAGGAGCTGGTGCCGGTGCCGGTGCCGCAGCCACACACATATCAATGAAAGAAATATTTATAGTTAATGGTGCGATTAAAATTCAAATGGAATGCAAATCAGAGCGCTGGGCGACCAGGGAGGAGGTGTGTAGGAAATTATTAGCTCAAATTGGTGTCAGAGCAATAGAAACCGACCTCAGACCATATGAAGGAAGCCGTGCCGTCATAATTTATGCAAGATGCGTAAACAGAGCAACGAACCATGAGCGGAATCACGACACTCTCACTCACGTATTCTAAAGAAAGACGCTGCACTGGGGAAAAAATTAATAAAAATGTTAGATTATATTATATTTGCTAGGATTACAATCACAATCACAACTTAACATGGTAAAATGAGTTTAACCCAAAATAGAAGACTTGGCTGTATTATTGTTTATATTTTAAGATTAAAACCCTTGAAATATGGATACCTTGGTATAGGAATACCTTTAAAATCATGGTGTCCTGTCACGCGAATCACAAATTTCTCAGATTTGCTTGCACAGAATTATAAAAAATATAATTACATAATTTTTTTATTGTAAAATAATTTAGATATATTTAATTCAATTATAAGAAACAGACACTTTTTTAAAAGATTTCTTTCACTAGATTTAAGTTTATTTTTTGACTACAAAGTCTTTTTTTCGAGTGTACTCTCCCCTTGACTATGCTCTCTATCGATAGCTCTCTCTCTATAACCGTACGCACCTTTCACCTGGCTTTTGTTTTGCAGCGACGCCGCCAAGAACCTCGGATTCACAGTCATTATCGATATGCGCGGCAATGGCAACTGCTCGACGAACGTGAAGACAATACTGAAGGTGCTGCAGGAACACTTCAGCGCCAACATCCACAACGTGGTCATCATCAAGCCGGACAACTTCTGGCAGAAGCAGCGTGCCTCGATCTCCTCGCACAAGTACAAGTTCGAGACGACGACAGTGTCGATCGAGTCGCTCAACAAGATCGCGGAGAGTCACCAGCTGACCGGGGACTTTGAGGGCCAGCAACCGTACGATCATCAGCAGTGGACGGACGCCCGGCTGGCCATTGAGGAGTTCTTCTGGCAGGCCGGGGACATGGCCGATCGTATTGATGACCTCCAGGAGGATCTCAATCGCAACGATTTTGCCGAGGATGTGGCACTGGCCAGGCATGCCATTGATCATCACAACGAGATGCGGAAGAAGATCACAAAGTTGCCCATCGATGATCTCGATATGCAGGGCAAGAAGCTGCTGGCCAAGATCAATGCGGTGGCGCCGCCAGGGGGTCAGGTGAGTATTTGTTTCTTAGATTTATCGAAAGAAGCTGCATAAAAGGGTTTAGTTTAAATTGAATTGAATTTCCTTTTAATTTATATCTTTAAATACTTAACAAAGAGCTTCTGTTTAACTCGGTTTGCTTACATTTTTGGTCATTTCTTCCGTAAATAAATAATGTAAACAAATAAAATTGTGTTACGAGATCTTTATTTGGGCAAAAAATCATTGCCATATTTAACACAGAGAGTCAATAGCCTCTGTTTTAACATTCACTTTGCTAAAATGAATGCCAAAATACAGACATTCAGACAAATGCTATTGACACAATAAAATATTCATGGTAACTTTTGTGTTTTTTATTTGTTAGGTGGGCAGATTATTTAATTAAATTGAAACTCTTTTGAGCTATATATAAATCTTTTTGTTGTTTTTTACAGAAAAGCTTTTCAGCAATTTCAAATGAATTATTCAAACAATATTTGCATGACAAAAAAACAAACTGTTACAGTTTCCATTGTAAATATTTAAAAAGCCTGTCTAAATGGCTTTCAATAAACAAACTGGGTGTTGCATATAATTGTTAACACATTGATATATATAATCAATTTCAAATCTAAACCAATTATGCAATTAGCTTCGAGTTTTCACCCTTTGAACCTGCTCCTAACCTTGTGTAATCCTCTTACAGCCCCCTGCCGGCTCTGGCGGCTCGGACATGGACTCGGGCACCTCCTCTGCCGGCCAGCCCTCATCTCAGCCCTCGCAGCAATCTCGCTCGGTCAGCAGCAATCCGGACATGTCGGCGGCCGTTAACAAAGCCATGCGCCAGATCGACCTCATCCACACGGGACAGGAGAAGCTGCTGATGCTGTGGCAGCACAAGAAGATCAAGCTAGACCAGTGCTTCCAGTGGCGGCTGTTCGAGCAGGACTGCGAGAAGATGTTCGATTGGATCCTGCACAACCGGGATGTGTTCCAGATGAGCTACGTGGAGATTGGGCACAACTATTCGGTGGCCAAGTCGCTGCAGGATGAGCACCAGAAGTTTGCCGTGGCCTCCATGAATGTCTCTGTGAATATCGATCGGATTTTGGCCGTGGCCTCGCGATTGATTGAGAGTCAGCACTATGCCGCACAGCACATCAAGACGCTGGCCCAGCGCTTGGATCGGACCTGGAAGGACTTTGCAGCGGGCTTGGATGAGCGAACGGCTGTCCTGCAACTGAGTGTTCTATTCCATCACAAGGCGGAGCAGTATTGCAACAGCGTAGCCAGTTGGGCAGCCGCCTGTCAGGCGAATCAGCCGCTGCCTTCAGATATCCAGAGCCTGGAGACGGCCATTCGGACGCATCAATCTCTGTACGAGGCCATGTGCCAGGCTTATACGGAGGTGCATTCGACCAGCAAAAAGCTGCTGTATCAGCTGGATCACCTGGTGCAGGTGTGCAACCAACCGCCACCGCCTGGCGTGCCCGATCATCGCAAGAACAGCAACGGAGGCAGCTTTAACAAATACGAGCGACAGAATCCAGCGGCAGATTATAGCGAGGGAGCCAGCCATGTGCTGGCGGTGATTCACCAGATCTTGGGGCACCATCGCTCGCTGGAGGCCAAGTGGCATCAGGAGAGAGTGCGTCTACACCAGACCCTGGCTCTTCGGCTCTTCCAGGAGGATGTGAAGCAGGTCTTGGACTGGCTGAAGAATCACGGCGAGGTTTTCCTGAGGAAAAATACGGGTATTGGCAGGAACTTCCACAAGGCCAGGGTCTATCAGACCTCGCATGATAACTTTGAAAATGTGGCCCAGAATACGTATAGCAATGCCCAGAAGCTCCTGGCAGCGGCGGATGAGCTGGCCCGGAGTGGCGAGGCAGATCCCAATGAGATATACTCGGTGGCCAGGGAACTGGAACTCCAGGTGGGCAGTTTTGCGGAGAGAGTGGAGCAGCGAAGGCGACGCCTGGAAATGGCTGTGGTTTTTTATACGCATGAAAAGGATGTGACCGCCTGGATAGACAAGCTCAGGACGGATGTGAGCACGGATGAGACACGTCTCTCGCAGGAGAATCTCGAGGGGATTGAGCGCATACTGCAGCAGTATCAGAGGGATCAGCATGAGAGCTCGGTGGATGTGTGCCACAGGACCATTGCCCAGGGCGAGGCTTTGCTGCAGGAGATGCGTTCCCTGGAATACTCCGACAATACCGGCTCCATAGCTGCTCTGGAGGCCACGCTGGAGAAGTTGAGCAAGCAGAAACTGGAGCTGGAGGAGCTCTGGTCTGCCCGCACTTTCCGCGCCAATCTCATTCTGCGTCTGCGGTACTTTGAGCGGGATGCCATGGAGCTATCCTCGCAGCTGGAGATCTGGTCCGAGGAACTGCAGCATGCCGACCTGTCCAGGGACTATCAGAAGGCCGAGCAGCTCATTCGCATGCACAACGAATCGGTGACGGATATTCAAAACGCCACCTACGAGGTACTGCAGCAGGGTCAGGACCTGCTGCAGCTCTTCGAGAACGCTGGCTTCATCTCCATGGCGGATGCCACGCACACGGCTCAGGCTAGGATTGAATACCTGCTGGACTTCTTGCGGGAGCGCGAGATCGATCTGGAGGAGATGTCGGAGGCGAAGCGGGCCAAGCTAGAGCAAGCGGTGCAGCTGTGTCAATTCCAGAACGATGCCAACCAGGTGATCTCGTGGATTCGCAATGGAGAGGCCATGCTGGTGGCCAGCTTTGTCACCCCCAACAGCCTACAGGAGGCGGAGCAGCTGAGGAAGGGTCACGAGCAGTTTCAGATTGCCATTGAAAAGACGCACACGTCGGCGGTGCAGGTGAAGTACCGGGCGGATGCCCTCATCAATGCAAATCACTATGACCCCCAGTCCATAAGGGAAATCAGCGAGGATGTGACCAAGAAGTGGCAGCAGCTGGTGACCTATGCCGAGGAGCGCCACAAGCTGGTCACTGCCTCGATTAACTTTTACAAAACAGCTGAACAGGTGTGCTCGGTCCTGGACAGCTTGGAGCGGGAGTACAAGCGGGAGGATGACTGGTGTGGCGGTGGTGGTGGCAGTGACAAAGCCCAGACCATTGTCCAGCTGATATCCAAGCACCAGGAGCAGAAGGAGGCCTTCCTCAAGGCCTGTACTCTGGCTCGTCGAACGGCGGAGACCTTCCTGAAGTACGCCAACCGTTCCCAGCAGTGCTATCAGTACAAGGGAAACTGTGAAGCTCACGTAAAGAGCAAGCTGGACAAGCTGTTGACTCAAGAGAACCAGGTCCTGGATTTTTGGACCATGCGTAAGAAGTCCCTGGACCAGTGCCAGCAGTTTGTGCTCTTCGAGAGGAGTGCCAAGCAGGCAATCGAGTGGATACACAACACCGGCGAGGCCTACCTCTCCTCGCGTTCCAACCTGGTGGGCATTAGCAAGGAGGAGACCGAGGGATTGCTCAAAGAGCACAACGAATTCCGTAGCACTGCCAAGGAGACGCGGGAAAGGGTGAAGCTGCTGATCCAACTGGCTGATAGTCTGGTGGAGAAGGGTCATGCCCATGCCAGCGACATCAAGCAGTGGGTGGCCTCGGTGGATCAGCGCTACAAGGACTTTAGCAACCGCATGGACAGCTACTGTGAGCAGCTGGAAAAGTCCCTGGGCATGTCCCAGCAGCAGTTACTTTTGGGCTCCGATGCCAACATCTCGATCAGTTCCTCTTCGGGTGCCAGCAGCATGGACCGCCACTCGGATCCCACGCTCGAGGCCAAGCTCAACAGCAGCAACAAGGAGAACAAGGAGATCAACGAGGAGAAGCGCAAGTCGGCCAGGAGGAAAGAATTCATCATGGCCGAGCTGATGCAGACGGAGCGAGCGTACGTCAACGATCTGGCTACGTGCATCAAGTGCTTCCTCGAGGAATTCCGAGGCGGTAGAAATGTGCCGCCCGCTCTGGTGGGCCAAGAGGATGTGATCTTTGGTAATATACGGGAAATCCATCATTTCCATCAAAAAATTTTCCTGCGTGAGCTGGAGAAGTACGAGACCATGCCGGAGGACGTGGGCCATTGCTTTGTGACCTGGGCCTCCAAGTTCGACATGTACGTCCACTACTGCAAGAACAAACCCACATCGAATAACCTGCTGGTCCAGCACGCGGGCAGCTACTTTGAGGAGCTGCAGCGTCGCCTAGAGGTGGACCATCCCCTGCCCGCTTATCTCATCAAACCCGTGCAGAGAATCACCAAATATCAGCTGTTACTCAAGGATCTCCTCTCCTGCTGCGAAGAGAGTCATGGCGAAATCAAAGAAGGTCTCGAGGTGATGCTCAATGTCCCCAAAAAAGCCAACGATGCCATGCATCTCTCGCTGCTGGAGAACTGTGATGTGTCGGTGGACAAGCTGGGCGAGGTGGTGCTGCAGGATGCCTTCCAGGCCTGGGACACCAAGCAGATCATCCGCAAGGGTCGAGAGCGTCGCGTTTTCCTCTTCGAGTTGTATCTCCTGTTTGCCAAAGAGGTCAAGGAGTCGAGTGTGGTGAAGTACCAGTTCAAGAGCAAGCTCATGACCACGGACATGGGCATCACGGAGCACATCGAGGGCGATGAGACAAAGTTTGCAGTGTGGACAGGCCGCTCGCCCATGCTCTCGGATTGCAGGATCGTCTTAAAGGCAACGAGCTTGGAGACCAAGCAGGTAAGGATCACATTTCAAGGGAGTTTAACAAGTTTATCTTATATCGATTATTGTTTGCTTTAGATTTGGGTAAAGAAATTGCGTGAAGTGATGCAGGAGACCTGCTTCTCGGGCACCTCATTGACCCTGCCAAAATCCCCAGCCAAGCACTCTGGCTCCTCGCAACGATCCTCAAGAGATTTGGATGAACAGCTCACGGAGAATGATCATGACCGCTGTTCCCTGGCCAGTTTTGGATCGGGTAATACCACAGATAGTGATAATAAGGTGAGTTTGCATTGGTTTTTTCTTATTTACTAAACGTGAACTTTCCTTAAATGAGTTTTCTAATCAATATAAAAAATATAAAGAAAATTGTTAATTAAATCGTAAACCAAATACTGGGATCTTTGCACAAAATTCAAGCAAATCCATGACCCTTCCCAGTATTATAAAGCTTTCATGGCTTTCCCTAGTTTTCCCCTTATTTTCTCAACAGCTTTAAGCTTTCCCAAGCTTTCTCTTTGGTCCTACCTCACTTGCAAACAGCTTGCTTTGCTGCCTCCCCCAACTGCTCCAGCTCCCTTCAATCGGGGATGCTGCTGGTGCCTGCCATTGGCCAGCTGAACTAGTTTTCCCACTCGCCGGGTCCAGGAGTCGGCTCCGTTCGGCTCATCGCGGTCCTGCAACATGTTTAAAATTCATAGCAGGGCTTAATGAGATTTTCCTTGCTGCTGCGTGCCGAGCGCGGTGCGTGGAAATCTTGGAGACCACTGGCTGTCGGCATCTCCCCAGTCTGTATCCGTATGCGGATGGATCCCTGCTCTAGGTCGAGTGTGTGCTGGATTATATATGACTGCTTTTAGCGCTGTTTCGTTACATTTGCTTAATGTAAATTTTATGTGACACTTCTTTATAGTTAGGTCTGTCTCATGTCCTCGTCTGCAACTGTCAACGGCCAGCGTTTTTGGGAGCATATTCCCGTCCAGATTTCGCCGGCGGCGGATGCGTTGGTATTCCACTAAAGCTAAGGAGCCGCAGATTTCGAGCGGTTTTACGACCGACATAACCGTTTGTCTTATGTTCGGTAGGTTACTGAGGTTAAGGGTTTCGTTTCACTTTGTGGCACTCTTTTTTTTATGTCTTTAGGATTCTACCCACTAAAACACTAAACAACTATTTTTGTGTGTTTATTGTTAATTAATTAAAATTTATGACTGTCGTTTGTGAGTTGAGCTGATTAAAATATTAAAGGTTTGAAGTTATGGAAATAAATATTCATTTTCCCTAAAAGATAAATTTTTAAAATTATTTTTGTATTATTATAAAAACATTTTTTTGTATTTTGGATAATAAATCCTTACAAAATTGTAGTTTTGATTTTCTTATAAACATTGTTAGCAGTCTTTTATTTTCTAAATAATATTTTATAAAATATATACATTTTGAACAGTTGTAAGGGTTAAATTATATAGATTTACAGGATAGTAAAAGCCCAAAAGAAGATATAGAAATAATTAAAAAAGATGTATTAAAGAAGAAACATATTTTGTGTTATATTTACTAAATAATATATAGGAATTTCCTTAAGGATTATTTCTATGAACCAATAAATCTGTTTTAAAAAAGTTTCCTCTACAAAAAAAAATATGTAAGAATGTATAATGATTTATATTTATTTTCCCTAATCGAAATATATTTAAAATGTATTTCTGGAACCATAAATTAGCTTTTAAATATAATTCATTAATGAAAACAAAATTCCCGCTTCTCTAAAAAAAAAACCCAAAGACCGACCCCAACAATAACAATCAGAGAGGCGAAAACACCCAGAGTGGGAGAGCGTGGAAAGCTTGGCAGGTAAAGCACTCTCTCTCTTAGATTCTGCGAAAAGCTTTTCCGTTTTCCTTTCGCCAATTTAACCCCCCCTGAGGGTAGTAGTGGGTTAAGGCATTTGTTGTTGCGAACGTTTTCGGTGCGTTGTCGTTCGTTTCGCCGCTGCGTGTGTTCGGGCGGACTCATATGCGGATTCGTTGTGGATTCGTGTGGGGCAGCTGCTCCAGTTGCTCCGCAGAGTTTCAGCCAAGAGGTTCGTCGTTCGCTCATTGCCGGAGCTCTCGGTTCTCCTCAGTTTTTTCTCTCGGATTTTCCAACGTCTGCTGCCTGCAGATGCGCGCCGCCCGGCCAAAAAAGCAGCAGTAGCAGCAGCAGCAGCCATCCTCATCTTCTCTAAACTAGAACTGCACTTGCAATTTTCCCCCTACCGACATTTTCCTCTGCCTTGGATGAACAATCTTTAAGGATTTCACCAGCTTCAACATCAGATATTTGTATGAAACCACCTTCAAGGTGTCAAGTGATTGAAAATCGCCTATAATCAGGGTGATAACAAGAAACCTCAGTGATATCGCGACACAATAAAGATAAAGATAAAGCACCACTGGCTCCCCTTTTAAAAAATTTAAAAATAAAACAAACAAGTCAGCTGTTCAGCCAAACAATTAAACCACAAGTGCCCCAAATAAAATTAAACAAAAGTATGAAAGTAGAAAATATAAAAAGATTACATAAATGACAGCCTCTTGTTTAGGCCTTAAACTGTCCAACGGAATGTTGTAAACAAAGACCTGGCTTATATAAATAACTAGAACCGAAAAAAATAAATTAAAAACAAAACACACAACAAAAGTGAAACAACAATCCGAGTAATGCAAATAAATATGATAAAAAGCTGGCGCTGCTGCCAAAACTACACGAGCCAGAAGGAAACCAGGGGGGAAGAGAGATGTGATGAACCCTTTTTAGCATTTTTGCGAGGGCAAAAATGAGCTGAGGATGAAAATGTCTGCAGCAGCCGCAGGCGAGAAGAGCCACCATCTCCGCCCCACTCTGCCCACTTTTCCGCCGCCGCGGCACTGCTGCCTTTGACCTTTTTCACGCCTTCAGTCACTTGAGTAGCAGTTTCATTCACATTTCCCCCCCATTTAGACGACGTTCGTGTTCCGTCGTTGCCCCCTAAAATACCCTTGAGCTCTGCTGTCATCTGCAAAGCGATCGCAACGTGACTGTGTGTGTTTGTTGAGGAAAGTGTGTGCCTTCTATCTTGAGCAGAACATTTTCAATTGTCCAATTTTTGATAGCACTTCTTGAGATAAAATCTTGCATGAGAGATATTCTTTCCTAATTGAGTCGTTAATTATCAATAAAAGCATTGGTTGTTCTCTTTTTTTGCCATTTTGTAAAAAATAAGGAATGTATGGATACTGAAGAATACTGAAAGATACTTAAAATACTAAAGAATACCATAGAATACTAAAGAATACTAAAGAATACTAAGAATACTGAATAAATATAACCTTATAACCTTATAGTTGAATACTGGCGAATAATATGAACAATGAATGTAAATCCGAGTTTTTTTTTAGACCTAATCTGCGTTTTTGGCTCAATTAGAACCCTAACACCGAATTCTCTTTCCTAGGAAAGCTAAAAATACCTTATTTATTTAGTTAAAAGATTTAAAGTAACTGATACATGTATTTCCCTTCAAGTTCTTAAACCTATTTCTCACTTCAACGTTTTTGTTATCAATTTCTTGGAAAAAATGTGTTTTTCTTCATGGTTCTTAGAAAGATATATAAAGATTATATTTGGTTATTGATACCCCGAGAAATACCTGTGGAATCTTATTACTTAATCGATTGATTACTTGTTGATTTCTTCTTTTTTTGTACAGGGTTTATATTTCAAGTATTAAGTTAATTCACCTCTTTACTTCGAAGCTAGAATAAGATTAGAATCTCACCCTTCAAGAACCACCTGCTCCTCCTATTCCTTTTACCTTTTGTTCTTTGTCTGAACCGAATTATATTTTGTAAAAGATCCCATCTAGATGCACATTGGCCTCTTATTTTCATCGCAAATCCCCAGACATTTCTAGTCCAATTTCACATAAAGGGTATCTGATGTTTAGCTACTCCCTCCCAGCCGCCATTTCACTTGGCTTTGTTCTTCTTGGGTTGGCCATTTGGCCAGAGCACGCGCTGAGTTGAGTTGAGTTGAATTGAGTTGAACGGAGTCGACTCGGCCCGTGTTGGGGCCATTAATTCCACGCTTATCTATTGCATTTTAATATTTATTTCAACGCGATAGGGTTGCGGTTCTGTCGTTTGGCTAATGCGGCTGCGGTTTCTCCCTCTCTGTGTGTGCTATGGGTTTTATTTTTTCCCCTACATTTATTTTTTCTGTTGTAGACACGACATGTTTTGGTCATTATAATTATCGAGTCGATGCATTGCAATTTAATTTGAGTGCCAGATGGGCGGGCGGATGATTGCCAACAGAGAGAAAAGGGTAATAGGAAATACGAGTGCAGTGTCCAGCCTTGTCCCCATTCCGATATATCCATCAGTTGTCACTGGAATTCCTTGTTTGCCATTCGCATTTCCATTTCCATAATGAAGGCTCCCCTTGATCAAACCCAAACCCAATGCGAACCCCTTGCCAAAGGGTAGTTTTGGCCCAAATCTAATCCAATTGGCAGCCGGAAGCAATTAAAACAGCATACAGCGAACAACACAAACATTAGCAACTGTGGTCGATGAAAACCGCTTAGTTAACCCAACAAACCGAACAAAGGAAAACACATCCCCATCGTCCCTGAATGGTGACGGGAAAACAATTTTCAAACTGCAACTGGATAGTTTTTTAGCAACCAGAGTTTTGCTTCTCGTCTCCCTTACTTTTTTCATCCCATTGGGGAAAAGTTTCAGAGCTTATTCTAAGTTTGGCAGGCGGGATTAAATTAATGTAGTTTCTTTTTTAATCCCCAGAGGTAGAGAGGGAGACCAAGGGAGAGGGAGAAAAACTCTGGACAAATAGGAATCAGCGCCGAGGTCAAATGTGGATAATTGAAAGTTTTGGTTATAATTACGAAAAGTTTTGTGGGTTTTTTACAGAATTTATTTGAAAACTCTAATGGTCTGTGCTAAATTTAATTGATATTTTTGTTATTACAGTTATTATATAACCTTTTTTTCTGAAGAGCTGTCTTAAAGGTTTGAGTTTAATATATTTTATTGGTCATTATTTAAGTTTAGTGACTTTATTTCTTAATGTAATAGGTTTTAGTCAACTTGGAATATTTTTTATATCTCTTTTTTACGTAGAGGTTTTAGTGCCTTCCTTTCATTTGAAAATATAGAGAGCATTTTATATTTTTTAATGCCTTTCCATACAGTTTTCATGCAATTATCTTTCTCCGGAATCCATTATAAATGCAGTTTGCC